CACTCACTAGGGCCATCATGAAGCACTCATAAAGCACTCACCTGGTCCATTATCAGAGAGCTGAGCAAGGGGTTCTGAAGTCTCAATATTTTTTCGTATCCCCACACACAAACACCTCAGCCCACGTAATCATAAGTGTCCACTCGTCAGGTACATGGTAAGAATGGACGAGCGGGGCGACGCCGAGGGCAACTACACCCTTATCGGGCGGCAGGAGCACCACTCCATGGTTGGGGAGTTCGGTCTGTACCCCGTCGGGGGCTTCCGCTACACCGAGGACGACTACCAGCGTCTCCCGGTAGGTACAGGCCCGAGGCTCCGTAGTTTGCGAGGCCAGAAGGTTCTTGCAGGGGGGAGCTGTTGTGGGTGTGTTTGGGTAGGTCTTGTAGTGTTTCCTTCCTTCTTTCCTTCCTTCTTTCATTCCTTCTTTCCTTCCTTCCCTGTGTTCATATTTTGTGTTCACACTCCACACAAGTGTGAGTGTAATAACATATTCTTCTCTAATGTGATTTACCATAATAAACAAAAATATATATTTGGAGGAAAAGAATTGTGACGTGTGATTTTTATATTTGAATTAACGTGGAGAGAAAAAATTATTCAGGCTCTAACTGAAAAACGTCGTTAATTATTCATTCTTCTCTTGATGTCCTCATTAACCAACTTAATTACCCGTAACTTTCCAGATATTTTTTTTTTATTTTTTTGACAGAAATTACCATTAACCTCTTTCTCTGTAACAAGGAGGAACTGGTGACCTCTTCGCTATGTCGCAAATAATTGCCTCTGTATACGAAACAATTCCTTCCTTATTTCTAATAATTATTTTCGTAAGACAAGCAAATATCTCTGTGTACCAAGCAACAAACAGCATCAAATAATGATCTTTGAACACCAATCAACTGCATCTGGTTAACCAATCACATATGTGGCTGTTTATTACTAATCCTTCTTTTAAACTTCACTAGTCCCTGTTAATCAGTTTCTCTACCCTACCGTTGTCCCGTTTCTCTACCCTGCCGTTTCCTCCTTTCCTTTCCTTCTGTTTCCTATTTTCTTGAACTCACACTGTCTATTTTTTCTGATTTCTATTGCGAATTTTCTTTTGATAATACAATTTTATCTACCTGCCATTGCCCATTTTCTTTCTTTCTCTCCATTTTCTCTACTTGCCACTGCCCGTTTACTGTCACTCCATTTTCTTTACTTGGCATCATCTATTTTTTTTCCCTAACATTGTCCATTTTCTTTCTCACCATTTTCTCTACTTGCCATTTCCTATTCTATATGACACCATTTTCTGTACCTGGCCAACCACTTGGGGTGGACGGTAGAGCGACGGTCTCGCTTCATGCAGGTCGCCGCTCAATCCCCAACCGTCCACAAGTGGTTGGGCACCATTCCTTTCCCCCCCGTCCCATCCCAAACCCTTATCCTGACCCCTTCCCAGTGCAATATAGTCATAATGACTTGACGCTTTCCCACTGACAGTTCCTCCTTCCTGTACCTGGCTTCAACCATTTTCTTTTTAATCGTCATTGTTATTTACCCGGCCATTGTCCATTTTCTTTCCATCTCGCACAACGGACTGGTTGGGCGTGCCACTGTCACCGCCGTGGTCACGACAGGAGGTTCACCTGACCAGCAGGATCCCTTGGAAGACTGGGGCGCCGCCCATAGACGAGCCTCCCTGTGGCTACCGCAGGCAGAAATGCCAGTGTGAGTGTCTCTCTGGATATTGTGTGTGTCTTCGGTTTTAGGATATGTTTGTGACACGGTGTTGTATATACTGTGTGTGGGTGGGAGGGGGGGTGGGGTGGGGTGTTGTGTGTTTTTGTGTGTGTGTGGGTGGTGGAGGGGGTGTGGGTGTGTGTGTGGTGGTGTGTGGGTGCGTGTGTGTGTGTGGGTGGAGGGGGTGTGGGTGTGTGTGTGTGGGTGTGTGGGGTGTGAGTGGAAGGGGGGTGGGGGGGGGGGTGTGTGTGCGTGTGTGTGTTTGGGGTTGGGTGGGTATGTGTGTGTGTGTGTGTGTGAAGCAGGTATATGTATTGAAAAGCTTCTTGAATAAAACTTTCAATTAGCTAGTTCAATTAAACTGGTTCTACTAATGGCAGAGCTGGAGCTGTAACTGGGAATAATGCCTTTCAAAAACGGAAATTAAGAAAAAGCACGAATTGAGAAGTATGCCTCTTCAACACAAGCAGAGCTAACTGCTATTGTTATGGCGTTAAGATTCCTTGAATGAAACAGTAAAGGTACAATGATCTGCACTGACACGAAAGCAGCGCTACAAACCCTTGGACAAAAATAAGCTATTGTCGGTGAAGATAAGAGATCTGTGAGAGTACTAACCAATCATCCAAATTCCTGTGGCTTCCCTCCCATGTTGGAATTTATGGAAATAAACGAGTAGATGTGCTGGCTGCTGAAGAGGGTGAAGGAGACCATATTAAATACTTCATACCCAAAACTCTGCTACAAATTAGAGGTATCATCAGGCAACATCACCGTGACAATGTTACCGAGGAAAGGAGGCTAGAACAAACCAGTCAATCCATACGATGGTACAACATGGTTGCAGCTGGCAATCCCAATCATTATGGACGAAGAGGAGGTGGCCGCGGGAGAGAGTCAGTAATAGCAAGAATTCATCTTGGATACAAATATCCATGGAGATTTAGGATGGAAGCAACAGCTGCAGCAGCGGAGTTGCAGAATCTGTGGTGGGACAGACACGGTCATGACCACTGCCTGTGTAGAATAATAAATCCCACATTGAGTTTGGAAAACACTATGTCATATATAGATACCGTGCTTAAAAGATGTCCCCGCTTTGTACCCGCAAGATAATGTAAGGGTTGGCAAACGCTAATCTTGTTTGAGAAGCTGTTTACTTGAGGTAGTTAAGCAAGTAACAGCCATGTCTGGGTACAAGTGACAGGATGAACAACCCAGCGGGGTTTCTTCCTATTGGGGAGTGTTGTACATGCTGCTATGGCGGTGTGTCCACTCACAGGATGAGTAGCGCCGCGCAATACTGTCACTATGGCGGTGTGTCCACTCACAGGATGAGTAGCGCCGCGCAATAAACTCGCCCCTCGGGGCAAAATTAAGAAAACAATTAACTAGAGAGCTGAGGAAGAATATATATAGAAAGCATAAAATGATGTAAAGCAACATTTTTTCATTTTTTAGAAATGCTTTACTCTTTAATGTTAAAGAATGACCTCATTTGATGTGACATTTTCCGCTTAAAATTATCCCCTTTAGGTTTTCTTTCTGAGAATATAATCAAGATATTTCTATCTCAAACTATTTGTGTATCTCTCACTGTGTCTAAATTCGTTATTCATTGTTTAACTTTACATTCAATAATTCATTTATGCTTTCACTCGTCACCAATGACACTAATTACTACAGAGATAACTCTTAACATCTTGAGATGTATAGGAGTAACCTCCAACATCCTCCCTACTCACAAGAGTAACCCCCCCATACACCTCCCTACTCACAAGAATAACCCACACACACCTCCCTACTCACAAGAGTAAGAACCACCCCACACCACCTCCCTCCACTCACAAGAGTAACCCCCCACACCTCCCTACTCACAAGAGTAACCCCACACACCTTACTCACAAGAGTAACCCCCCACATCCCCCTACTCACAAGAGTAACCCCCCACACCTCCCTACTCACAAGAGTAACCCCCCACACCCCCCTACTCACAAGAGTAACCCCCACACACCTCCCTACTCACAAGAGTAACCCCCACACACCCCCACTCACAAGAGTAACCCCCACACACCTCCCTACTCACAAGAATAACTCCCACACACACCCCTACTCACAAGAGTAAACCCCCACACACCTCCCTACTCACAAGAGTAACCCCCCCACACCCTCCCTACTCACAAGAATAACCCACACACACCCCTACTCACAAGAGTAACCCCCACACACCTCCCTACTCACAAGAGTAACCCCCCACAACCCCCCCTACTCACAAGAGTAACCCCACACACCCCCTACTCACAAGAGTAACCCCACACACCCCCCCTACTCACAAGAGTAACCCCACACACACCTCCCTACTCACAAGAATAACCCACACACCACCCTACTCACAAGAGTAAACCCCCACACACCTCCCTACTCACAAGAGTAACCCCCACACACCTCCCCTACTCACAAGAGTAAACCCCCACACCCCCCCCTACTCACAAGAGTAATAACCCCCACAACACCTCCCTACTCACAAGAGTAACCCCCCAACACCTCCCTACACACAAGAGTAACCACACACACACACCCCCCTACTCCACAAGAGTAACCCCCCACACACCTCCCTACTCACAAGAGTAACCCCCCACCCCCCCCTACTCACAGAGTAACCCCACCCCACCCACACCCCCACACCCCCCCCTACTCACAAGAGTAACCCCACACACAACAACAACTCCCCTACTCACAAGAGACAACCCCCTACACCCCCCACAACCCCAAACCCACACAGTAACCCCCACACCCCCCCACTAGTAAAGAGTAACCCCCACACACCCCTACTCACAAGAGTAACCCTCACACACCTTCCTACTCACAAGAGTAACCCCACACACCCCCCCTACTACTCACAAGAGTAACCCCCACACACCTCCCTACTCACAAGAAATCCCAACACCCAACACCCCCCTACTCACAAGAATAACCCACACACACACCCCTACTCACAAGAGTAACCCCTACACACCTCCCTACTCACAAGAGTAAACCCCACACACCTCCCTACTCACAAGAGTAACCCTTCACACACCCCCTACTCACATGAGTAACCCCAACACCCCAAACCTCCCTACTCACAAGAGTAACCCCCACACCCCCCTACTCACAAGAATAACCCACACACACACCCTACTCACAAGAGTAACCCCCACACACCTCCCTACTCGCACAGAGTAACCCCCACACACCCTCCCTACTCACAAAGAGTAACCCCCCATACCCCCCTACTCACAAGAGGTAACCCCCACACACCTCCCTACTCACAAGAATAACTCCCCACACACCCCCCCCCCTCCTCACAAGAATAACCCCGCACACACCCCTACTCACAAGAGTAAACCCCCCCACACACACCCCCTACTCCCAAGAGTAACCCCCCACACACACCCCCCTACTCCAAAGAGTAACCCCCCACACACCTCCCTACTCACAAGAGTAACCCATACACCCCTCCTACTCACAAGAGTAACCCATACACCTCCCTACTTACAAGAGTAACACCCCACACCCCCCCTACTCCCAAGAGTAACCCCCACACCTCCCTACCACAAGAGTAACCCACACACACCCCCCCCCTACTCCCAAGAGTAACCCCCCCACACCCCCTACTCACAAGAGTAACCCATACACCTCCCTACTCACAAGAGTAACCCACACAACCCCTACTCACAAGAGTAACCCCCACACCCACCCCTACTCCCAAGAGTAACCCCCCCACACCCCCCCTACTCACAAGAGTAACCCCCCACCCCCCCCCCACAGACCCATACCCCCCCACACCCCCCATACACACACACAAGAGTAACCCCCACACACACCCCCCTACTCACATGAGTAACCCCCCACAACACCACCCCTACTCACAAGAGTAACCCCCCCACACCCCCCCTACTCACATTAACCACCCCCACACACCCCCCCTACTCACATGAGTAACCCCCCACACACACCCCCCTACTCACAAGAGTAACCTCCACACACCCCCCTACTACACATGAGTAACCCCCACACACCCCCTACTCACATGAGTAACCCCCAACACACCCCCACACCCCCCTACTCACAAGAGTAACCAGTGTCTCACTTCCCACAGCTCAGACTGGAGAGATCATCGCTGGGGTGACAGGCGGTGTTGTGCTTCTGCTCCTTGTCGTCTCTCTCATCGCCTACAGGTTGGTCCTCCCTCTTCTAGAGTGCCGTTTCTCACTCTCTCAACGACTAGTTTGAGTTTTCTCACTCTCTCAACGACTAGTGTGAGTTTTCTCACTCTCTCAACGACTAGAGAGTGAGTTTTCTCACTCTCACAACGACTAGAGAGTGAGTTTTCTCACTCAACGACTAGAGTGAGTTTTCTCACTCTCACAACGACTAGAGAGTTTTCTCACTCTCACAACGACTAGAGAGTGAGTTTTCTCACTCTCACAACGACTAGAGAGTGAGTTTTCTCACTCTCACAACGACTAGAGTGAGTTTTCTCACTCTCTCAACGACTAGAGTGAGTTTTCTCACTCTCTCAACGAATAGAGAGTGTTTTCTCACTCTCACAACGACTAGAGAGTTTTCTCACTCTCACAACGACTAGAGAGTTTTCTCACTCTCACAACGACTAGAGAGAGTTTTCTCACTCTTGACGCTGAGAGAATTTTCTCTCCCTTTTGGCTTCAAAATTCCCCCTTCCTCCTATTATATAAAATGGTTGAGTTATTTCCCCCTGCACACAAGGGTGTCCCCTGTTATACATCCACTCGTTATGTATCAATATGGGGGAGCTTAATTGCTTGACTGTTTCCACTTGTGTTCAGTGACCAAACGCTTCAGCCCGCGCGTCTGTCTTTTGTTTGAAAAGATAATTATTTCTGGCGCATTTGTGCGTCTTGTGCTCAGTGTGCTCACGCCTGGGGCCCGTGTGCGGCCGGATGTATTCAGCATGTGCATGAGGAATATTTTAGACGTAATAATGACAATAATAATACTTTTATTTATAAAGCAGAAATCCACAGTGTTTATGTGACACTGTATTGAGTGATACTGTATTGAGTGATACTGTATTGAGTGATACTGTATTGAGTGACACTGTATTGAGTGATACTGTATTGAGTGACACTGTATTGAGTGATACTGTATTGAGTGACACTGTATTGAGTGACACTGTATTGAGTGATACTGTATTGAGTGACACTGTATTGAGTGACACTGTATTGGTAAAATGAGGTGTTGACTCGGCCCTACATGCAAGCCTCCGGATATAATAACCGAGTTACAGTGTTACCCGGCTAAGTAATGTAGTTTTGGGAGCGTGTTTATGCTGCTCTGCCGGGATAACCAAATATTGGTTAGGCCTCACAACTCACCCTGCTGCTCTGCCGGGATAACCAAATATTGGTTAGGCCTCACAACTCACCCTGCTGCTCTGCCGGGATAACCAAATATTGGTTAGGCCTCACAACTCACCCGTAAACTTTACATGGAGTAACAGTACACCGTCGGTCTCACGGTGTACCGTGACCTTATCTGCCCTTGGGACGGTGCTTGTCACGATATCTGGGCCAGTGACGGTATCTGTACCACTGCAAATATCTGTACCAGTGATGATATCTATGCCAGAGAAAATGTCTGTAACACTGAAGATATCTGTACCACTGAAGATATCTGTACCGGTGACTATAAATTCCCTTTTTAAAATATAATAACTTACATAATTACGATATAAGGTATATAAAATATAATAACTTATATAATTACGATATAACTTATATAATTACGATATAAGGATGTAAGGTAAATCAAAGGCCAAATTACACATGGAAACTAACCGTCTACCTCGTTACTCAGACAAGCTGCAGCTGTGCTCGGCCAGACTGCGGCTGTGCTCGGCCAGACTGCGGCTGTGCTCGGCCAGGCTGCGGCTGTGCTCGGCCAGACTGCGGCTGTGCTCGGCCAGGCTGCGGCTGTGCTCGGCCAGACTGCGGCTGTGCTCGGCCAGGCTGCGGCTGTGCTCGGTCAGGCTGCGGCTGTGCTCGGCCAGACTGCGGCTGTGCTCGGCCAGGCTGCGGCTGTGCTCGGCCAGACTGCGGCTGTGCTCGGCCAGGCTGCGGCTGTGCCCGGCCAGGCTGCGGCTGTGCCCGGCCAGGCTGCGGCTGTGCCCGGCCAGGCTGCGGCTGTGCCCGGCCAGGCTGCGGCTGTGCCCGGCCAGGCTGCGGCTGTGCCCGGCCAGGCTGCGGCTGTGCCCGGCCAGGCTGCGGCTGTGCCCGGCCAGGCTGCGGCTGTGCCCGGCCAGGCTGCGGCTGTGCCCGGCCAGGCTGCGGCTGTGCCCGGCCAGGCTGCGGCTGTGCCCGGCCAGGCTGCGGCTGTGCCCGGCCAGGCTGCGGCTGTGCTCGGCCAGGCTGCGGCTGTGCTCGGCCAGACTGCGGCTGTGCTCGGCCAGGCTGCGGCTGTGCTCGGTCAAGCTGCGGCTGTGCTCGGTCAAGCTGCGGCTGTACCCGGCCAAGCTGCGGCTGTGCTCGGTCAAGCTGCGGCTGTACCCGGCCAAGCTGCGGCTGTGCCCAAAGGCACATATGTTAATATGTCCGTTTTCTGTAATCAACAACGATATTTTATCGCAAATAAATTGCTACTCTTATTATAGTTTTGTGGATAGTTAGGTTTGGAGGAGGCCAGTATGGGGCTGCCTCACCACAACTGCCTCGTTACGGACCAATCTGCCTTAACCACCTGCACCCGCTGAGCAGTTCTTGTTAATTGCTTCACTTTGAAATGGGAGGAGGAGGGGGGGGGGGGTGCTGAGCCAAGCAACGAGGCAAGAAAAAATAACGCCGGTCGATTACCAAAGCTGATTATCAGCACTTTTAATGCATAAATTGATGGTTTAAACCCGACCTCACCACATCACGGTCTGAGGGCTGCTCACAGTGGACGGATGAAAGCTTGCGAAACAACAGCGTAGTTTGAAGGGTTACCCCTGAAACTCATCCATTTTTCATCCGTTTTTCATCCGTTTTTGTTTGTTTAGGTATGTATTTTACATTATTATTATATTACAAATACGTTTAGCACGCGGTGGATAATACTTTTCTGGACTGTTCAGCAGTGAGGGAAAATTACTGCTCATAGCCTGGGCCAACCTAAGGTGCTGTAGGGGTTTCCCCTTGGCTTGTTATTTTGCCTGTCTGTTCCAAATTACGTGCCAATCACAATGGTATATTGTACAACGTGTTGCGGATAACTTTATGATATCAATCACCATGTTAAGCTCCTATAACACTTCAGCGGCCAGCCAGACACCTGGTGGTATTGACGGACTCACGATGGCACACCTGTGTCCGTCCCTAAGGTGCGAGGGAGGAGTGGGTGTGAGAGGTTGGGGAGTGTGGTCGGAGGGAGGGAGAGTGAGAGGTTGGGGAGTGTGGCATTCGGGGAAAGGATAATTAGTATAAAATAGCATCTGACCTGCCGCTGTCGACAACAGCCTGCTCAGCACTGCTTTGCTTTTAGTAAGACTGAATTTATATATCCTGCTGAACATCGTAACTAGATGGCAACATCTGCAGACGAAAATAAACTAAATTAAGAATAACGCGAGGTGCCTCTGCCGGGTCCTGCGCCAGGATACGAGACACCAACGCCAGGGCCCCCTTAGTGTATCACAATAATCAATGATCACACTTGTCAAACACGTCCCACTAGTATCATTCTCGCCTGAGTCTAGCGTCTCATTGCAGACATAACTCTGCCAGCCACGGACCCACAAACTGCCTGGATATAATCTATAAAACTTCAGCGTTTGGGAAAGTTAGTTGGTCTGGCACTGAGTGTGCTGCTAACTAATAGTGAATACAACGAGTTAATTTGCGTAACTAAATAATAACTAGGATAAATCGCAATAAACTGGGCACCAGTTAAATTAACTGTTCAACTGAAGCAAAAGTTAAATAAATTGAAATGAAGTGGAAGGTGTGTAAAATAAAGCTTTTGTGAGCCTGGGGAAATGTGTGTGTTGTCGGGCGAGAAGAGGAGCTGACCCACTTCCTGCCTCCTGCCTCAACGTGGGTGTTTGAGGAGAGATCCGTCACTGTCAAGCCGTGTCAGGTAACCATAGAGGAGGTTGCACACGTGATGAGAACCCGAGTGAGAGGGGGAGATAGATAGATTGATAGATAGATAGATAGATAGATAGATAGATAGATAGATAGATAGATAGATAGATAGATATAAAAATAGACAGATAAAATACATAGAGATATAGATGATACAGATATAGGGAGAGCAAGAGATGGAGAGAGCGAATGAACGAGAGAGAAGGGGGCGGTGAATATGAAAAGAGGGAAGGGAGATAGGGAGGAAGGGAAGAAAGAAAGGAAGGAAGGAAGGAAGAGGGAGAGATAAACAAACACAGACATACAGGCACACAAAGACAGAAATAAAATCAGACACACGCACAGAGACACAGACAGGTGTAGCGTTTGGCCCAAGTGGCCACACCCGCGCACGATAGCAACAGTATATTCCATTACCTTGTGGGAGGGTGGTATTAGTGCTCTCAACACACTGCGTAACATCACTCCACATTAAGCCATAATGGAGTGTTTAGTGGAGACCCAGCTCCGATGCCGGGGTTATATGTTCCACTCTGACGTGGGAGTGTGGCGGTGTATGGATTCATGTTGCACTCTGACATGTGAGGCACGTTCCTCCTCTGTAACTCAACCACAAATGGACTCCAGATCCAATCCCAGAGCTCACCAGTGGTCCCGCTGAGTGGAAAGGGAAGCTCCGATGATGGTCCCCCACTGTCGAGAGATCTGTGTCTCCTCCTCTGGCGTCACCGGCATAGGAAACAGGTCACCACCTCCCTCACCCAGTCCACGCACTAGAAATTAGCAACTCTCAAATCCGGAATATTTTCTGCAGCCACCGATGCCTGTAGGGAGGCTACGTACCCCTACTGAGCTCTCGCAACTTGCCTTGGTGCTTCTACTGTGTTTCTACATCAACAGCGTAGCTTAGGAATTAGTTTCATCTCTATCCTCGTCCACACGCAATTTTCCTCCACCACATTACACATATGTAATGTGTAAATAATTCGTCTCTTTGTAAAATCATGCAAGTAAACTGGGTAAACTGAGTTGAGAACAGAAAGCACAGATTTGTATAAAAGCGACATTAAATAAAGAAA